TAACAAGTGACCCCGGTCAGTCTGCCGAGAATCAAATGACCTTAAAAAAAAAAAAAAAAAAACCGTTTTGAAGTATAATCTATGTCCAGAAAAGTGCATAAATCATAAGTGAACAGCTGGATTAAATTCCAGAAACTAACCACACCTGATAATCAGAAGTCAGCTCAAGAGAAGAACATGACCTTTCCTCAGAGTGCCCCCGAGGGTAACTACTAACTGGACTTCTACCGACATGGATTACTTTTGCCTGGTTTTGAATTTTATACAAATGAAATCACACCGTACGCACTGTTTTGTGTCTTCTGTCTCGTGCTCAGCATTTTGATGGTGAAACTCACCCACACTGTTGCACGTGGCTGTAGATCTTTCCTTTTCTTTGCTGTATAGTTTTCTTGGTAGGAAGATGCTACAACTTATTTACCCATCCGTCGGATGGAAATTTGCCTTGTGGTGGACATATATTCGCATCTGGTTGGAGTGGAATTTCTGGGTCATCGGATATGCCGAGCGATAGTAGAAAGTTCTCCAAGATTTGGTGGAAAACCGAGGCTGGTGGGAATTCATGCCCCCCGCCCCCATTTCCTACAAATATGTATTGGAGGGCTACTTTGTGCCAGGCACTGTTCCAGGCCCTGAGGCACAGCAGTGAACAAAAGCGATCAGATCAAATCCCAGCCCTCCTGAAGCTGATACTGATGGGGGGGAGGATTCAGACTACAAACAACAGAAATATAGACTATGTTTCGTAGTGATAAGCTATATGAAAAAACAACCAGAGCCAGGTTAAGGCGCTAGTGACAGGTTATCTCTCCCAGATAAAACAACCCTGCTCCAGGTCCCTCTAGTCTAGCCTCCGGTGGGTCTCCCCGCCTGTCGTCTGTCAGAAACTTTGGCTGAGCCAAGTGCACTTGCAGACACCATCTGCTCTCCCCGGGAGTGGGGCCCGTGCCAACTCCAGCGTCTGGACTCTTGGCACGGAGCCCTGGAGCCCTGGAGCCCTCAAGCGAGGGAACTCTGGCCAGCCCCACGTCGGGAGGGGAATCCTCCAGTTTGGCTGACTGGGTTGGCTGAGATGGAGGGCCTCTGGGAAGGAGAAGGCGGTGCAAGCCGGGTGGGCTCCGTGAGGGAGGGGTGAGGAGGGTCTCTTATTCAGACTGATAGAGCCAGTAATGCATAGTGATATCCCTCAACATCATCAAATATATTCAGAGTGCCTGCATTTGCCAGGCTTTGGGGAAATGTGGGACGTTGGTTATCACACCTGATGTGAGTGCTTTGTGTATGTGATCTACACCTACATCCACGAGGCAGGGAGTGCGTCGCCCATTTCACAAATGAAAGAGTTAGGTTTCAGAGAGGTGATGCCGTCATCCAGAGGTCACACAGCAAGTGCCTTGAAGAGCCTGGAAGGCCAGTCGGGCCTGTGTGGGTCCAAACACTGACGCATGACCGCCGCTTGTACCACCTGATAACCCTCACATCACCCCATTCCCGGCCCACTCCCTCCTCGGCCTCCTTTCCCTGGACGTTCCCACCACCCCCCCACCGCCCCCCCCCCTCCCCCCCCCCGCCGGCTACGAATACAGCCCCGGGGTGCAATCTGCCGGTCTTAGCTCCAGTTGTTTACCTCGGCCAACAGAGCACACGCCTCGGAACCTCAGTTTCTTTATCTGTGAAACAGAGAGAGCTGCCGAGAAGAATCAATGCGATGGTGACTGTAAAGCGTCTCAGGCACGGGCCAGGGGTCCGGCCTTAGTCCGCGCTCAGTGAGCCCCGCAAGTCCCCAGCCTCTCTGCGCCCGTTTCCTTCTGCGTACCACAGCACAGCACCTGACGGTGCCTCTTCGGCCGTGCTCAGGAATCAGGGTGTGCGTGCCCATGCACAGCCCCAAGAGCATTGCACCCACTTAGCCGCCGTGGCTGTTATTAGTATTGGGCAAGGAGAGTGGCGGGGTGGAGGCGGGGCCGAGCCAGGAAGGCCCTGGAGAATCGGGGGCGCCCCCTCTTCCTCCCCGCAGCGCCTGGGCCTGGGCTCGGGGCGGGGGCGGGGTGGCAGGGTCCGCCGTCCTCGGAGTCCCCCCCCGCCCCGCGCAGGCCCTGGAGAATCGGGGGCGCCCCCTCTTCCTCCCCGCAGCGCTTGGGCCTGGGCTCGGGGCGGGGGCGGGGTGGCAGGGTCCGCCGTCCTCGGAGTCCCCCCCCGCCCCGCGCTGGCTCCCGCACACCTGCGGTGGCAGGGTTTCAGCGCTGGGCGCTGACGTCGGCCTTCAAGGCCCCCTCCCCGGCCGCGGCGGAAGGCGGAGCCGGCCGCCCGCAGCCCCGCCCCCATCCCCGCCCCCGCGCGCTACGGGCTGGGGCGCCGAGAGGGGAGCCCAGCGCCACGCGCAGACCCCGCGCCCCCCAGGCCCGGGGTCCCGGGGAGCGCGGGCCTCCCTGAGTTCCGTGCCACTTGCGGGGCGCAGGGTCGGGGTGGGTGTCGGTGCAGGGGCCCGGGAGGTCCCGACATATGGCCGTGGGCGGTGAGTGAGGGGCACAGGTGGGCGGCACGGCCCTTCCGCCCGGTCCTAGTGTTGGGGATGGGGAGGCGAAGCCTTGGTGAGGAAATCGGCTCCAGCCAGGTTTGGAACGAGGGCGGGAGGCTTGGGAGGCCCCGGGGGGGATCGTGGGGTGGCAGTATTCCTTGTAGGTTGAGTGTGTATGAGTGTGGTGGGTTGGGGCTGTTATGGGGGAATGGTGCAAAGGTGGATTCTGGTAAAAGAGGAGGCGTAGGGGAGCTAGTGGGTGTGCAGGTAATTGTGTAGCGCCGTAGGGGGTGTGGGTGGGGTAGGGGAGGGATGCGTGGACCGGGTGTCTGGGGCAGGTGTTCAAGGGAAGTAAGTGATGGGGTGCTTGCGTGGAAAACCTGTGCTTATGTGTGCAAATAGGGGATCTGATGCTGGGGGGATTAGGAGTGTGCAAGGGGTCATTTGGGAGGAGTGTGTAAGAAGGCTGGGGGCTCCAGAGGGGTATTTAATGGGAACTGATGTTGTTCAGGGCAAGTGTGCAAGGAGCCCTTTGGGAGATGAGTGCCTGGAGGTGGGGGTTGGGCTTGCCTGGTTGAGTATGTGTAGCAGGGGACTTGGGTATTCAGGGTGCAGACTTGTAGGCACAGGGGATGTGTGTGGTTCATGGGGCAAGGAAGCGTGCAAAGCATGGTTTGGAATAAGTGTGCAACAGGTATGTGGTTTTTGCCCGAGGAGACAGAATCCCAGAACTGAATATCTAGACCCCGTGAATTCTTTTCACAACTTGGCCCAGCCTCTTTTATTCTGTGGGCCTCAGTTTAAGTCTCTGTCAAACGCGTTAGTCTGAGGGTCAATGAACTAACTAGTGTCTGCCAGGAATCTCTCCAGAGTCAGGAGTCAGGGGAAAGATGGTGAGACTTTTTCAACTTGTCTTTTTTCTTTCCTCTACGTCCAGGAAACCCCTGTGGGAGCCTCTCCCCAGCCATGGACAGCCCCCGTCTTCGAGAGCTCCAACAGCCTCTGCTGGCGGGCGTGGGCTGTGGGCCCCCCATCCAGAAGCCTGGGGAACCCCAGCTGGGGCCTCCCTTTCGAGAGACAGCCTTTGCAGAGTCCCTGGGGGGTTGGCAGTTCCTACCACCGCCTCTTCCCTCTGTGAGCGCTGGCCTTGGGGAGCCAGGGCCCCCTGACCTGGAGGTAGGAACAGCAGGCCTTAGTGGAGGCTGCGGGAGGGGGCTTGGAGGCGAACGAGCTGGGCTGTGGCCAACCCCGGGTAGGTGGGAGGCTGGGGTATCTGCCTTCAGCCTGGAGTCTCACTTCCCAACTGTGTGGGGACTTCCTAGATGTTCAGTTGTGGTTTTGCCTATTTTACGCCTCCCCTGGTTTCACCTTTTTCTCTCCAGATTTGTCCCTCATTTCTTCCCGCACCTTTGGCTCTCTGTCTTCCCTCTGATTTCTGACTCCCCTGTTCTCTGTCTTTTCATCTCTCTCTCTCTCTCTGTGTCAGTCCTGGTCTCTTTTTTTCAAATTAATGTGTTAATTTGTATAATTTCTTATTCCTTGTATATACTGTGAAGCTTGTCTTTTACTTACTGATTTATTTTTAAAAAAGATTTTGAGTTCTCTCTACACCCAGCTTGGGGCTCGAACTCACAACCCCGAGATCAAGAGTTGCACACTCTACCAACTGAGCCAGCCAGACTCCCTGCTCGTCTTTTATTACCTACACATGGTTTTCCAGTTACTATTCCTGCATAAGAAATCACCCCGAAACTCAGTTGCTTAAAACAGCAACAATCATTATGGCTCATGGTTTCCACGGGTCAGGAATTTGGGAGGGCCTGGGTTGGGTGGTTCCACCTCAGGGTCTTCACGAGGTTGCAGTGAGCCAGTGGTTGGAGCTGAAACGGTCGGGGGCTGAAGGAGCCGGGAGCTGGGTGGGTATCTTTTAATGTAGTCTTGGGGCTTCTGCCTGAGGCTCCCCTTGTGGGCTGGTTTGGGCCTCCTCACAACATGGCGGCTTCAGCACTGTGCCCCCAGCCCCCAGCCCGAGTGCTTCAGCAAGGCAGAAACTGCCTCACCTTTTCTGACCTATGCTTGGAAGTCATGTGGCATCCCTTCCACCACATTCTACCAATTATGAGTGAGTCACAGCCTGCCCAGACCCAAGGAGAGGGGACACAGACCTCACCCCTTGGTGGGAAGAGTATCAGTCACACTATAAGAAGAGCATGTGGGATGAGAGCTGGTTGTGGCTGTTTTTGGAAACACCGTCCGCCACAGTGAGGCAGTTGCGGTAACTTTGACATCTCGTTATATGTCTGGTAATTCCATTCTTTGAAGATTTTGAGGGAGGGCCTTATTATTTCTGCTATTTAGGGTTTCTTGTGTGCCTGGTTATCTTTGGACTGTATGCTGGTCATCACAGTTCAAAAACTATCTTTAGGAAAAATTATTTTGAGGCCTAGACTGAAGGAACGTACCTTTCTCCAGAGAGGAGTTGGTTTGCTTCTGCCAGCTAGCTGCCTGGGGGCACATCGGTGGTTAGAGATCACTTTTCATCTAGTTCACGGTTGGATTGAGAGGTTATTTTTCTGGGATTGACAATTGGCTGCAGGGCCAAAAGAGGCCTTCTCTGTTTGTTTGCCCTCTCTGCTAACTTGGATTTTTTTTTTTTTTCAAAGATTTTATTTATTTGCCAGAGAGAGACACAGCGAGAGAGGGAACACAAGCAGGGGGAGTGGGAGAGGGAGAAGCAGGCTTCCCGTGGGGCAGGGAGCCCGATGTAGGGCTCGATCCCAGGACCCTGAGACCATGACCTGAACTGAAGGCAGACACTTAATGACTGAGCCACCCAGGCGCCCCCTAACTTGGATTTTAATTGCAGTTTTGGCCTTACAAGAATTGCTTAAAATCATGCGAGCTGGGGAGCGCCTGGGTGGCTCAGTTGGTTGAGCGACTGCCTTCGGCTCAGGTCATGATCCTGGAGTCCCAGGATCGAGTCCCACATCGGGCTCCCTGCTCGGCGGGGGGTCTGCTTCTCCCTCTGACCCTCTCTCCTCTCATGCTCTCTCTCTCTCACTCTCTCTCTCAAATAAATAAATAAAATATTAAAAAAAAATCATGCGAGCTATTTAATGCAAGATTTAAAAAAAGCAAACTTTTTTTTTTTTTAATCTAGAATTTAGTTTTCAGCTGACAGGTTTGTCCTAGTAACTTAGACCACCAGAGCTGTCTCTCTGTCTCCAACTTTTTGCTGGTTCCTGTCCCCATTGGTGTCTGCCTCCAGTTTTAACTCTGAAATTGTAGTGTCTGTGGTGGGACTGTGAAGTCTTTGACACCGAACATACAGCTTTGGCTGTGGATGGGGGTTCTTCTTTGGAGAGAGGTTACACAGCTTCCCCTCAAGGGGATCCAGGCTGGAGAGAGTTAAGAGCCTACTTCCTGGGACATTTTCCTCTTTTTGGTGTTTCTGGGGAAGGCCCTGGTATGGGTCTTTGGGGGCTACGGGGAGCAGAGCAGCGGGGCAGGGAAGATAGGCGGAGAAGCCCACTCAGGCCTTTTCCTACCCACAGGATGCGTCATCCAGTGACAGCGACTCGGACTGGGACCGGGGCAGCCTTCTCTCCCCGCTCCTACCCCACGACCACCTCGGCTTGGCTGTTTTTTCCATGTTATGCTGTTTCTGGCCTGTGGGCATCGCTGCCTTCTGCCTGGCCCAGAAGGTCAGTCTGTGGGTGGGGTTGGGAGGGGGCTGGATAGAAGAGAAAAGGTGCATTCAGAACGAAACAGAGGTGCTATGCATGGGGGGCGGCGGTGGGTGGGGGGAACAAAGGTGGAGAGGATTGGCACAGAAACATGGGAAGGTAAAATGAGTGTCTCAGAGTGAAAGCCCAGAGCGGTGGTTAGGAACCTGAGCTCAAATCCTAGGTCTGACACACCCCGTTACGATTTTTGGGCAAGCCACTTAACCTCCCTGTGCCTCCTTGTCCTCAACTGTGAAATGGGAGTAATTCCTACCTCTGGGTCACCGTGAAGCTCAAATGAGTTAGAACGGTGGCACCGAGTAATAGAGGTCTGTTCTTACGAGCCACCCCAGGTCAGCTGTGCCCAGCGGTGCCTGACCCGCAGTAGCTGCTCCCTGGTTTTGGAATCTATGAATGAGCCTGTGGGTGTGCCAGTGTGGGCGGGCGCAGGGGAAGGGTCTGGGGCTGCGGGCAGCAGGGTGGGATGAGGGGATGCCTGAGTCACCGCTGCCCAACGCCTCCACAGACCAACAAGGCTTGGGCCAAGGGGGACGTCCAGGGGGCAGGGGCTGCCTCCCGCCGCGCCTTCCTGCTGGGGGTCCTCGCCGTCGGGCTGGGCGTGTGCACATATGCAGCCGCCCTGGTGACCCTGGCCGCCTACCTGGCCTCCCGAGAGCCGCCCTAGTTGCCCCCGCGGCCCCCACTGTGAATCAGGGGCCGGGACCCGGGCGCGTCGGCGGGCAACGTGGAGAATCCGGGTGGATGAGGCGGCGGCCGCCACAGCATGAGATTAAACTCCACTCTCGCAGCCAAACCTGTGTGTGTGTGTGTGTGTGTGTGTGTGCGCGCGTGTTGGGGGGGGGAAGGAGGGAGATCGGGGCACTGAGACCAGGTCAGGGTGACGACAGGCTGTCCCCAGAGACGTTGGAGCTGGAGAAGGGGGAATCTGAGGGGCAGAGGGTTCCCAATTGCAGAATGTTTTCCGAATCACCGTGGTCTGTAGAGAATTAGGGAGAGCCAGGTTCCAAGGGCTTACTTCTCCTTAGCTGTGCCACCTTGGCCCAAGTGACTTCTCTTTGAGCCTCACATTTTCCCTTCTGCAAAATGGGACTTTCTCCACCCCTGGGAGCTCTGGGGAGGACCGAATGGGTCACACCTGTAGAGGGCAGTATCCCTCTGAGCTCTTCCCACAGCAAGTGGCAGAAACTGGACTTGGGGGCTCAAATGAAATGAACGGTCTGGTCTCTCCATCTCTTGGCCCTCCTTTCCCGTTGGCCTCATTCTGTGCAGGCTTCTGGGGGAGAAAGACGGCCCCAGGAGCTGAGGCACCCCACGGGAATCACATGGCCAGAGACCAGGAGGGTTGGAACCTTAAGGCACTAGCGCACTAGCACCTCCCCCCCCCAGCCAGCCGACAGACCCCCGAGTGCTCCCCAGAGGCACAGGAGTGCTCACTGAGCAGGCCTGAGAGATGACCAAGTAATGGTATGACAGGTGGTTTAGTTTCTCTGTTTAATGCCATTCCAGTGGATCTTAACTAGAAGAAAACACTTTCCTGTTTGGAGTTCTCCTGAGTCTTACGGAACAGAATTTCAAGCTAAAGACTTTGATGCTTCTCCTTCTCGGTTACTGGGGACGAAAATGACACAGGCTCCAAGGGGGCAATTGTGGGAACTGTGTGAACTAGTTCAAGCATGTGAAGCACGCAGCAGAGGGCCCGCCAGACATATAATTTTCACTGCAAACCCCCAAATGTCAGTGCCCCACAGAATCTGGCGACCATGTGGCCCAGCTGTGGGATGGTTACTCCTCAAGGGATGCTCTCATGTTCTTAGCTCCTGCCCACTAAATACGGGGGCGAGGGATCGAGCGGTCAAACGGCAACTAACCCCCCCCGCCCACATATTTCCATACGCCCTCCGCCATGAGAAACATGGGCCTCAGTCACTTCCGGTTACAGAGGGGGAACCGCAGTCAGGACCGTGCTGGTGTCTCCCCAGCCTTTCTGAGCAGTGACAGGCTCTGGGGCTGGACTCGGACTAGCTGGTGACATTTGGCAGCTCACTGGCTGCTAAGCTTGTTTCTTCAGGTTAAGACCGGGATGCCAAGACCCACAGGGCCTCACCACCGTGCCCGTTCCCTCCCTGACCCATCTCAGCTCTGCTCCAGCCACCACCACAGAGCCATACGGAAGCCTTGCTGGTCCCCCACCTCCCGCAGGCCTCCTCCCGGGCTTCCCTGGGATGCACCCCCCCCCAGCCCACCCCCCACAGATGTCCCTAACGTATTAAATTCACCCTCCCCAAACCCCTTCCCTGCTCTTTGCTTTCTTCATAGCATTTACCACCACCTGACAAACACCGATTTTCTTTGCCCCTCACCCTGCTGCTCCTTGAACCTGGGACCTGGGGGGGGGGGTCATCCTTTACCCTGGGTGCCCCACAGGTATCGGTCAGACTGGCGGGTGGGGAAGGGGGGTCTCCCAGTCGGAAAGGCTTTCGGGGGGCGGCAGGGTGGGTCCGTGTCCCCAGGCCCACAAGCTCATCGTAGTGCAGAGGGACTGAGAGGCGAGGCCGGCTGCCGGTTTATTTTCCACGGAGGTAGTGGGGGGCGGCGGCGGCCGTGGGAGGGGCGCCCTGCCCTGGCTTGTCTCAGCTCTTGGAGTAACGCCTCTGCAGCGATTCCCGGTAGAAGCGGAAGACGTGTTGCGAGGCAGCCTGGGCCGCGGCCAGGCACTGCTGCAGCTGGAGGCGGAGAGAGAGCTGGTGGTGCTGGGGCCTCCCGGCTCCTGCCCGGCTGACCCCACAGCCTGCCCTGACCCCGGCTGGTTCCTGGAGCTCCCAGGCCTCCTGCCTCCCCTACAGTAGGGTAGGTGGCCAGGGGAATATTTCAAAGGCCTTTATTTCTTCCCCACTTGGTGGGCTCTTTCTTAGACGGGGAACAAAGAAAAAGGGGGGGGGGCTTTGGGGGTCCGATTCCGGCAGCTCCACGAGCATGGACAGGTAGGACCAGGCATCGTGACCCCTGGAAGAGGCCTCATGAACCTGGCCCATCTCCAACTGGAGATCTAGAATTCCTGAGCCACAGACCCTGTGATGCCAGATCATCTTGGAAGCCGTGGAATCTGGGACCCCAGCTCCTGAGCACCACACATTCCTAGGCTCAGAGGAGGAATGGGTTGGAAGTGCGCTCGGAGACCAGAGCACTGGGATTCTGGGAGCGCACTGCTCTGAGCTGGAGGTGCCTCACCTCCCGATCTCAACCTGAGCTCTCTCCTCTGCTCTCATGACTGGGGCTTCCCTTTAAAATTCCCAAAAGGGTTTCTGTGCCTACTACGTTTGAAAATGCCTTTTACATACAAAAGGGACATAAGGAAGGGGCTCTCCTTCAACCTCTCAGGGTCCCAACAAGACCTCACATCCAGGAGGGATCTGGCCTTCACCCCATCTCCACACCGGTACCTCAGCATCGGAGTAGAGCCCCTTGGTGGTGGACATCAGCAGCTTCCGTTCCACGCTGTCGAGCGCAAAGGTCAGGACCGCCCGGGCCTCCTAGGGATGAGGTAGGTAGGGCACCGGGACTCTCCCCTCAGGCAGAGTCTCAGCTAGTCCCAAAGAGGGGACCTACCCTTCCCCCAGCCCACACTCCCAAGTGTAGGTGTTCTGTCTATGCACCGCCCCTGCTTCCCTGGGCAATGCTCTTGGCCTTTCCTTCCGTGGAAGTGCTTCCTATGCCCCGACGCCACCCACATGGTCCCAACAGGGGCTTCGGACACAGTATTTCTGCCTGTAGGGGTGGCCGCATGGCCAGTCATCAGCCGGTACCTCTCAGCCCCCCACTGCCCCTCCCAGCTCTGTCCCACCAGGGCTGGAAGCTGGCAAACCGTTTCCCAGACTCCCCGGCCAGCTAGGTGCCCCCAGTAATCTGGGGGGAGGCTGAAGGAGGGAGGGCCACATCCCGTCGTCACTCTGACAGAAGCAGGGGCTGTGCTGTGGAGGCTGGGGAGGGGGCCTCCAGGGCCAAGCCAGGATGCCTCGTGTGTGCCCAGACCCACCTGGGACTCCCAACAGCGCAGACTGGGAGCTCCCTACAGGCTGTTAGTCTCTGGGTATTGCCCTCCCTCCTGTTTGCTCCTTCGGCTCTTCCAACACGATCATGACCCATTTCCTGCAGTAAATTCCCTGTCTGGTCTGAAATACCTCAGGTGGGTTCGGCTTTCCTGATGGGATGCGCCCATCACAGGACGGGGTGAATATCTCGGAATAACCAGAGCCCTGGGCGCTGTGAACTTGAGCTGGTGAGGAAAGCATGGAGCTCTAGGGGCTGATCACAGGCTCGGGCAAGATGCTGGCTAGAGAATGGAACCGAATGGAACCAATGTGCCTAAGACAGCCGAGGCTGAGAAGCCAGGTGAGGAAATCCTTATGGTATTTGAGACCCTGGGTCTAGCTGGACCTCTGTTCTGAGTTTCACAGTGAAGGTCCATATGTTCCCTTTTAACTTAAGTGGGTCTGAGCTGGGGTTCTAGCACCTGCCCTGAAGAACAGACCAGAGCTTACCAACTGGGACCGACGTGATAGGAGCCAAGTGTTTCGGGGAAGCGAGGCCGCGAGGGGCAGTGTCTGCTCACAGCCATTCACCAGCTCGGCCTTCAAACCTACCTTTTCTTGCTTGGCTGTGGGATCCAGCACAAGGGTGCCGTCAGAGTTCAGAGCACAGGTGACCCCACAGAAGAGGGCCCGCATGGGCACCCCTGCGTCCACCAAGGCCATGCAGGAGGCGTTCAGGCAACAGGCCAGGAGCTGGGTGCCACAGGGCAGGGTTAAGAAGCGCTCCCACCACAGGGATGGCCCGCAGAGCGCGCCCATGCCCCCATTCCGCCCGCCAGCGCTTGTGGCCGATTTCCCTGATCACGGGGAGGTGGGAGGGCACAGTGCTTCTAGGTGGTTCTGGAATCAGGCAGCCTTGGGTTCCTGACCCGCCTTTGCCACCTCTCAGCTGTGTGAGCTTGAGCAAGTGACTTACTCTCTCTGAGCCTCAAACAGGGGTCATAACGATACTCGACAGATTTGTCCTGAAACACGTGCCAAGCACTTTCTGGGAAACTGAGGGCGGGGAGGGGAGGAACCTCCCACAATCACATGTGGAGGCAGCCACCACCAGGTGACAGAGGGAGGAGCGAGCCCGGGCCTGGAGCCAGACAGCCGGCCATGCCTCAGTTTCCTCTAGTCTCTGCCCCCAACCCCATCACGGTGGCTAAGGGTCCAGCTTTAGGGTCAGTCAGTCCCAGCTCTGCCACTGCCCCTCCACTACCTCCCTTCTGGGCTTCAGTTTCCTGCTCTGTGAAGCCCCTCTTGAAACGCCCATTTCTGGTCCTCGGCCCCAACCTCTCACCAAACCACAGGGATCTTTCTAGGCCAAGCTGCTGACCCAACTGCTCTGCCTGCTCAGGACTCCCCTAGCATTGCGCCAGGGCAGAGTGGAGGTCAATGGCACAGGCTTTGCAGGCAGTCAGGCCTGGGCGTGAGTTCTGTCTCTGCTGACTTCCAGCTGTGTGACCCTGGGCAAGCAACTTTCCCTCTCGGGGCCTGCTTCCTCACCTCAAACATGAAGACACAAGAACACCCATCTGCCAGGGGCCTTGGGCTCTGGGAGCAGACGGCTTGGGCTCAAATCCTGGCTCTG